GGCATAAGTACAAGAAATAGTTTTGAAACATTAAAATATTTGATATTCATTATTTAACATTTAAATATACCAAATATATTGGCCAGCATAGAATTAATACGCAAGCTGATTCATTCACGAAGAAAGACAGACAGAACATCTACAATTAACAGCGTCTAATGGAAGGCCTTGTCAGAAATATCACTTAAATGTCAAATCACTAAAGGAAACCCACGTACTTAAACCTATAGAAGACAATCCAAAAATGGCGACTGCGCATAACACCCAGCTGTCAGCGCTGTTCCCAACAAAAAAAAAATAATTACGTAAAAATTTTCTAGCTTTATAGGAAGAAAACACATAAAAATATTATTTCCGATATGTTGTAGGAAATGGTCAATTCGGGATATTCAAACAAGTCCGAAACTCAACAATATATTGACACTACAAAACGCAACATGAAAAAAGATGAATCCAAAAGTACAAAGTAACCACGCGTCTCTTATTCTGACATAACCTTCTTCTTAACCAGACCCTAGTCTACATTCGTTCCTCGGACCATAGATGTGGGATATATTTTATTGGTTCGTTTTACGATTACCAACACGCCCCCTTAATAAAATAATTCCTTACAAGGTTATGATCCATAAGAAATAACACTTATTTTAGCTTTTCTTTTCTAAACCTAAACCTAAACGTAACGTTTTAAATTGTGTGTATGTTAATGGTTTTGTAAATAAATCTGCTAGTTGATTTTCACTCTTAACATATGTTACAGTTACAATACCATCATCGATCTTTTCTTTTATAAAGTAAAACTTAACATCAATATGTTTTACTCGTTTATTGTTTTCAGGAATTTGAGCTATACAAATTGCTGATCGATTGTCTTCATATATTGTTGTTGGGCTATCAACATGAAAACCAAAATCATACATTATTTTTCTCAGCCAACATGCTTCAGTTACTGCTAGACTCAACGCTATGTATTCTGACTCTGTTGATGATATGGCTACTGTTTGCTGCTTCTTGCTGGCCCAGGCGATCGTACAATTAAACATCTTAAATATAAAACCTGTGGTGGATTTGCGATCAATCGTATATCCACCCCAATCGGAATCAACATATCCTATTAACAAATTTTTGTCATCTGGCTTAAACATTAGTTTTAAATCTAGTGTGCCCTGCACATAACGCAAAACCCTTTTTAAAGCTTTGGATAAGTTTTCGTTTGCTTTGTCTTGAAATCGACTTAACAAATTAATGCTCTCACATAAATCAGGTCTAGACCCCATTGCGGCGTACATTAAACTTCCCACAATACGTCTGCATAATTTTTGCAATGCCAGGTCAACTTTTTCACATTTAAAGATTTTCAAATCCATATTACTGTCTAAACGAGTTAACACATTTTTTAGATATTCTTTTTGTCCTAATTCAGTAAGTCTCTCATTTAGTCTCTGTTTAACTTCTATACCTAAGTAATTTGCAATAACTCCTAAATCTTTCAAATGAAAATTTTCATTTAAAACTAGCTTTAACCTATCTAATTCGCTGTCATCTGTACATAATATTAAAAGATCATCAACATATAACAATACAAATGATTTGTTGTTTTTATTCAATTTAAAGTATAAACAATAATCATTCTGTGATCGGTCAAAACCTTGATTTCGCATGAAAGAGTCAAATTTTTTGTTCCAACATTTTGGAGATTTTTTTTGACCATACAGTGACTTATTTAGCCTACATACTGTATTACTATTACTTTTATTTTTACCTGGTAACACCATGAATACCTGTTCCTCTATATCTCCATACAAAAAGGCACTTCTCACATGCATTTGGTGTATTGGTCTACCCATCTTGCTGCTCACTATCAGTAAGTTGCGGAAAGTTGTTAACTTTGCTACAGGAGCATATATGTCATACAATTCAGGATCACTTCTTTGTTGAAAACCGCGCGCAACAAGTCTTGCTTTATATTCTCGGTCACCTTTTTTTTAAACACCCACTTACTATCTATGAGGTTTTCATTCACGGGCCAAGGCACTTCAGTCCACGTATTGTTTTCACGAAGCACTGCCAATTCTTTTTCCATCGCATTCTTCCATTTTTCACAATCTGTACTGGTTATGGCTTCTTCGAAGGTCATAGGTTCTTCTGTTTCGGTGTAGAAGGTCACATCATAGTCTCCCATCCAATCTGGTCTTCTAACTTTTCTCTTTTCCAACTGTTCATTCTCTTTTCCTTCTTCTTCATTCTCTTTGTCCATTTCAAATTCTGATTCTTGTATTGGTTTATCTTCACTGTTTATGTCTGTGTCCAAATCTAACAAAACTACGTTAACTTCATTTTTCTTCTCTTTTCAGTCAGCCTCCTCACTATAAGGTATAAACACTACATCTCTGTGGATTTCTACTTTCCCTCTTTGTGGAAATAGAATTCGATACCCTTTAGTTGTCTGTCCATATCCTACCAAAATTCCAAGTTTGCTCTTTGAATCCAATTTCTTTCTTTTGTTTTTAATTATGTGCACCGCTACTTTGGAACCAAATTCATGAAACATATTCATGTCGCATTTTTTGTCAAACCAAAGCTCATAAGGTGTTTTGTTCGGAATGGAACTACATCCAAATCTATTTAACACAAAAACTGAAGTATTAATAGCTTCTGCCCACAGATTTTTGTCGAAACGTTTGCTATGCAATAACGTTCTAGCGGCTTCTACAAGGGTTCGCATTTCTCTCTCTGCTCGGCCGTTTTGCTGTGGAGTATATTCACACGACCTTTCATGAAGCATTCCTTTATTGTTCAACAATTTTTTCACTTCTAAATTCATGAATTCCAAACCGTTATCTGTTCGTAACTTCTTCACTTTGTTCTCTGTTTGTGTTTCTACCATATTCAAATAATTCTTGATGTTCTCTGCTGCTTCTGACATATTCTTTAAGAAATATACATATCTATCATTGGAAAAATCATCCTTCAGCATCAAAAAATATCTTGCCTCTCCCAGTGATGGTACTTCAATAGGCCCTTCCAAATCAGCATGTGTAAGCTCTCCTATTTTTTTAGCTCGTGACTCACTATGTGAGAATGACAGCCTGTGCTGCTTTCCTGCCAAACAATCTTGACAAAATGGGTTGGCAATATCCTTGTATTTTATTTCATTCCTTCTCAATACCTTCTTTACTTGATCAAAATTGACATGGGCTAGTTTACGATGCCAGTTTGTCAGACTTTCTGTTATATTGCATAGTGACATACTCTCTGGAGGTTTAAACTTCATTTTATATAGTCGTCCTTTTCTCTGAGCAACTGCCCTCACGTGTCCGTTTTTATCTCGGAACTCGCTCTCTTGTTTATTAGACTGCATCATTAGACCTTTATCTAGAGCTGTACTCAATGAAAATAAATTTACCTCAAGATCAGGTCCAAACAAAACTTCACATAAATTCGTTTTTATCCAGTCATGACCGTTCCATGCTTGAACTCCTACTTTTCCAATTCCTTGTACTTCTAGCAAAGAACGGTTCCCAATTTTTACATGTCTTCTTTCTTGGAGTTCTCGCATTTCTATAAAACTGTCCTTATCAAAACACATATGTTCTGTGGCTCCGCTATCTAGCCACCAGTCACATCCACCATTTGATTCCCCAATCAAAGCTGATAAACAAGATACTCCTACTAACGCTTGTGTAACATTTGCTTTTGCATTTTTTTCATCGCTTTCTTCAGGTAGAGACATAAGTATCTTTATGATTGCCATTTTATCGCTTATTTCTTCTCCTTGTAGTTTCAGATTTCCTTGAATTTCTTCAATTTTCGATATCAACACAGCTATGCCACCTTCGCCATACTCCAAGCCAAAAAAATTCTGCTGCAATAAATGTACACTTATCTGAGATCTATTTTCATAGATTGTCACCAATTTTTGCCACATTTCCGCTGCTGTGGTACATGCCAATACATGGGTAAGGGGCTTTTCTTCCAGTCTACACACAATTACTTCTTGAGCCTTTGCATCTTTCATAATCAATTCTGTAACTTTCTTATCCGTTTCGTCGCCAGGCGGTTTTACAGCAGCCTTGTTAACAACTTCAAACAGTCCCTTGGATTTTAAACACACCAATGTTTGAAATTTCCAAAGTGTCCAATTTTCTCCATTCAACTTCACGACTTGCAATCCTTCTGCCATCACTATTCTTTGTTGCGTTCGTTTTTATGCCAAACTCTTTAACTTTCCCAAATAACTTGGTATTGCTTTTTTCTCTTTCGACTACGTTTTTTTAAACGTATATTTTAACTTTCACGACTCCCAAATTCTTATACACACAGCATGTCTGGGCCCATAACCTGTTGTAGGAAATGGTCAATTCGGGATATTCAAACAAATCCGAAACTCAACAATATATTGACACTACAAAACGCAACATGAAAGAAGATGAATCCAAAAGTACAAAGTAACCACGCGTCTCTTATTCTGACATAACCTTCTTCTTAACTAGACCCTAGTCTACATTCGTTCCTCGGACCATAGATGTAGGATATATTTTATTGGTTCGTTTTACGATTACCAACACGATATTAAAAAAAGAAAATAATATAGAACTACTGCAAATGATACTAAGCAAAAAGGACTTAAAACAAAGCATATGTTGCTTTAATTTATCTTATTATCTTAGTTCAGTCTTCTAGGATCTAGTATTAATTCTATGTTTATTCGAGAGTCGCAATTCTAAGTTACTTAAACTATTTTCTATGGCAATAAAATGCTCTTTAAAAAGAAATAAAAAATATTCAATCCGTTGGAACTACCGAGCATTTTATCCCATCATTATTTAATACCCAATTTTAATTCCAACAGACTAAAAAATAGTGACAAAGAAATTTTTTTCACAAACCGAATTGTACATCAAGCAAACGCAAAATGAACTTCCGAGCGTTGCTCAAATGCAATTCCAATTTGTTGGAACACCGCGACCTTGGTATTTCGCCGCTAAAGTTCAGCCGATTCGCTTGTCGTCGGCAGTCAGCTGTTTCCCGGTTGCGTTGCCGCCTGCTCGTCTGCCGCCAGGACGTATCGGATCAATATTACATGAGTTTTAACCAAAACAAGATTTGTTTTCGAGTTTAACGGCTAGAACGAAACTGGTAAGGCCTTTATACGCATTAGCAAGTGTTGGTCCTGTTCTATTGAAGATTAATTAAACAGTGCCGCTTATAATATGTATTGGGTCAACGACAACGATACCATAACCTCACTAAAATACTCATCGCGGGACGAGTATTTACGTGCGGAGTACCACACGGTGCGTTTAATACAATGTTGTTAATACGAGCTCTTAATGGTGTCATTATTCCAGTACGCTTCGAAAGAGCTTTTTGAGTTATAGTTTTAGTGCATTGCAAATGCCGGCAAGACAGTTCAACTTGTATTACAAAAGATAATATTTAATAAAAACTTATTATTAATAGACTTGTGGAGATTGTGTTGTGTCTCTATGCCAGAAACCGTCATCTGCAAGCAATATTTTTATTTTGACTGACTCAAAAAGAAATTTGGTAGATAAATTAATTGTGGCCTTGGTGCAGTTAAATTTCAAGGTCGGCGTGGATTCAATATTCCAACATAGTATTTGTTGTGTAGCACTTTCAGAAATTCCAAAATGCTTGATATATTTAATTATATATGAAGCATATTTAATAAATTGTAATAAGTATTAAATATTATACAAATTCAAAAACAAAATTAAAAATCTAGATAATTTTGCTTACAGGTTGCGATCTCTTAATAAGAGAGAGAGAAAAAGTGATAATCTAATTAAGTAAATAAAAAACTTGCTTAGTTTTTATTCTGTAAACTAACTCTCCTACTTAACAGAGGAATGCAGAGTATCTACAAAATTTTCTTCTGATCAATAATTGGTATTATCGCGCTTGCAATTTTAGAACGAAACTTCCACCTTATAATTATATTGTCCTTTTCGGTTACGCCGGCAACTTTCGAAAATATAAAACGTAAACAACTAAAATGGAAGCCAATTCGAATCGAAACCAAAAAAAATATTTGTATTATTTCATTTTCGACTTGTTTATAATACAAATATTTATTTCAGACCAGGATCATATTTTTCAATTTGAACGTCTAAGAGAAAAGGGTCGGATCGCGTTTATTTACTACCAAATGCTTTCAGATTCCTCTTATATAAATACGGCAAGATCCGTATAGTAATTTAAAAGTCTGAGACCGCCTGGGATTTGTTCGAAATACCTTTTTGTCTGAAGTTCGTTACTACAAAATACACGTTTTTTTTGTTCGGAATGCATTTTCGTGATTGTTGATTAGGTATGATCTGTTCATAGATATTAGAAAGTGACCAATTGATTTTGAACGGATTATCCAAGGGTGGTCATTAACATACAACGCAACAAGATTATTATTATTAATTAAGGTAAAAATCTTGTTGCGTTGTATGTTAATGACCACCCTTGGATAATCCGTTCAAAAGCAATTGGTCACTTTCTTATATCTATGAACAGACCATACCTAAGGTTTTCAAAATAAGTGTGTAATGTTGTATTGATCCGTTGGTTAACATTCTATTCCGCCATCTTATGCATCTTGATCAGTTAAGATGGTTCATCTGATTAACTAAAAAAAAGAAATTTCGCTTTTCGAACATTTGTTTAAATTTTCAGAAAAGTTACAAAGGTTATCAAAAATATATTTTTTCCGATTGAACTTTACTGCGATCAAGTTATTGGTCCACGTTCTTCGTTATGCTTTCTTTCCTTCCAATTTTTCCTGTAGAATTGATTGCTAGAATCTATTTCGTCCCCTTTTCAATTTGTTCCAAAACATTGCGATCGTAATGTTTACGCATAATGCAATAAAATAAAATAAATAAATAAACAAATAAAACTTAGGTCGATAATACACTTAACATTAATATGTTAAGTGTATTATCGACCTAAGTTTTAAAGTTATATTTGTAACAAGTGTGACTAGCACAAAGCTAAAGAGTAAAATATAGAAAATATAATAAAAAAGTTTCAAGAAAGACTAGTCTTAAGTGTTAATTTATGGTTGTTTATAACCAATCTTTCAAAACCTAATGAATAGTGAAGGAATATCATTTCTAAAACCAACAAATAATATTTTGCGTAACCTGCAAAATCTACCTATTTCTATATGAAAACTTTTCTGTTTTTATTTCAGATTTCAAAATTGGAAATATGAAAAAGTCTCCGGCTCAGCTACTTTACGGGCCCTTATTATCCGGACATGTAAAAACGATCCTAGAATCTGGTCTGTTGCTCGACGAAGACTACGAAGTGCTCTTGAAGTCGTTCAATTTCGAAACCTTTTCCGTTGAACCGTATAAACCGCCGATGGGATTAATTGTCTGCGGGGCAACCACCGCAGCTTCAATCGTATTGGCCAAAAGAATCAAATTGACGTTACTACCCATAGCCCCTTTGGCAGCGACCGCAGCGTATCTTTATTTAGAAATCCGTTCAATTTGTCGACGCAACGAGCAAAGAGCTGCTGTAAAGCGTCTGATTAATAGTTTCATTAAGTTGCATAAGCTCATCAATGGAATTATAGCCTACCAGAAGACTAGAAATGAAATAGCGACTAAAAAGACTAAAATTTTCTACGGCAAAAATGTAGAAAAATTCAGTGCTCATTTCGCCGAGCGCTTCATGGACCTCTTATATTACTTATTAAGTGAACTTCAGTTTTTAAGCTCTTTTTCTGAAAGTTTATGCGAAGATTTCCAGGAGCTACGAGAGCTAGACATAAGCCGGTTGCTCGACACGGATAATCTAGTTAACGAATCTCTACCTCTCTCTATGAAAGTTAAGGACTTGTATTGTCTTCTTATGTCGAAGTTTTTGAATTATCTCGGGGTAAATCTTTGTAAAAACTTAGTCGACATCTGCACTAAAGAGGTGGATTGTTTGCTCAGCTCTACATTGCCGAAGCTGACCACCATGCTAGTGGAAACGTATTCCGCTATAAACATTGAATTTAAAAGCTTAAGGTGTAGTATTAATGAAAAGTTGTCGTTTAAAACTAGGACGCCTTTCAAAAAACATATTTCCGGAAAGTTGCAACAGACTTTAGCAGGTTCGCTAAATAAGTTGTCCATAATTTTTGAGCAAGCACGCATGGTGCTGGAAAAAGTGGACAATTTGAACGATGAAGAAAATTTGAGCATGTTACAAGATGCTATCGCCGAGTTAAGGGACCACGCGTTAGCCACGTATGAATCCTTGGACATATTGTGTAAATTGTATGGAATTTTGTCTAAATCGGAAAGCAATGCCACTAATCGTGTGGAAATAACTAAAGAAAACAGCGATCCAACTGCCAACGTGCCGTGGTTTAATTTTGACGATGAAACTGTAGCTTTAGAAGAAAATTATGAGCTATACGTAGGTAAAGACGATATAAATCATGAAGAAGAACTCGGAATTTGCGATGATAAACCGGGAGCCTATTTAGGTTTAATGCTTAGGGAACTTGGTCAGTGTCTAAAGCAACATGAAAGATTCGTAGCGGCGAGGAACAAAAGGGGTATCAAAGATGGCGAGGAGGAACAATTGCAATATCAGAAAATAGAAAAACCTACGCCTAAATTTGACTTAATGGTGGTTCCTGCCGTTAATTCGGATAACCAAATTATCGTACCCCCTACACTATTACCGCCTCCACCCCCACCGGTAGCACCCCCTCTCCCTTTAAATGTAGTTCATGAATATAATGATGGAGCCTCTGGAAGCACACATAGCTTGTTAACAAGCTTAAAGTCATTGACGCGTCAGCTCCAAACTAAAGAAGAAGTGTTTGGTGATAGAGGTGTCGAAAACAGTTCCAGTGATTCAGATTAAAAAAAAATTAGATATATACAACTAATATATTGCCCATTTTATAGTAAACTTTATTTATTTATTTCAAACAATGTAGCACAAATTCATTTTTGGTAATATCAAAACCAGTGAACCCCTTATAATTCGAGACTTCGTTTAAATTGATTGTATAGAATTTTTATTAATTATCCACCACTTGTTTATTTAAGAATGAGTTTCCAAAATTTCATCTCAAAATGTTTTTTGAATCCCTGGTGTGTATCCTTATTTTGATCCTTTAAAAGCTCTTTTGCTTTCAGCAATCGCCACTGGTAAAATTACCAATAACGTTTTTTACTTGATATTAGAAGGTCGGTTTTCCTTATAACTCTTATGGCGTTAATAGTCAAGTAAATATTTTTCGATATTAGTTAATCTAGAATATTTTTTATTTGCTGCTTGCGCAATAGGTTTTAAGACAATTTTAGGATATTTGCGATTTGACTAGCTTGATCTGAAAAAAAAAAAACAAATGGATCATTCCTTTTTGATGAGTTTTTAGTTGTTTGTTGTGTTTAGTCGACTTACTAGGCGAATACTGCATTGCTGAATTTTACCTGAAACAAACAAATAATATTTAGAAACAAACTAAATGTTACAAATATAAAAAACAAATATCCCTTTCAATACTAACAGTAATATCCTACACCATCAATTTTTTCGGGTCATATCGTAAAATAAGTCACAACCATTTAAAATAAACTTGTATTGAAATATTTACCAGAAATAAGTTATGACAAGAAAATTTAAAATATTTCAAAAATGACTGATTTGTAAATTGCACGTTGATGAAATATGTGTAGATTTGTCCTAATTGGATTTCGCAGAACAATATAATTGTCTTCTGTGATCAGGGTTCATATAATGTTATATACAGTATTTCTTAATTTACTTCGATTCAAATAAGGTGTTCGAAATTCTAAGAAAAGTAGAGACCAAATATTTCGAAAGAGAACAGGCATTTTAATAATATTACCATGTCCCTCACGGAATATTAATATCCCTTTTATTTTATTCCCCTGCACATCTAAAGCAATGCAATTTATAAGATATCTTTACCTGACCTTCTTTAATAAACAATTGTTGCCTATCAATTGTTAAGTTTGTCAGGAACAACCATATAGAAACTAGAGATGTAGACGCCCTGCATGTACCGATAATACAGGAACTTATGAGACAACCACGAAAAAACAATTTGGAAAGTGTATTTAACATGCTCATGCGCGAGATTTAAAATCTTACTTTTAACCAATGATTTTGCGGCATTCAACGACCACCATGGTCGCTGACAGATCATCAATAAGTTTGGATGTGGCGGTATTATTATCTCAAAATATGCCTAGCTCTCGTTAAATGTTCTGGCAAAACGAGTTAAGTGTGTCGAAATCACTGTTTAGCATGAAAATGGCGCAAACTGCAGGTTAGTGGGTAAAATAGAGAGATTTGCACGGAAAATCATTTTCTCTTCTAATCACTGCCTCCTGCGGCGTACCAATTTTTAGTGTAATAGGGCCATTGTATTATCTAATAACTATATGGGAACAACTAATGAAATACGTCATTTTGGACAGGATCCTGTCAACTTTCTAATCATGTTTTGGTGGCTTAATGATAAAACTACAAACGCGAGGAGTCTAGCTAATGAAATAAATTGTTTTAGTAATTTAATGTTTATCTTTTCTCTCTGAATATTTAAATTGACTTGTAATGTGGAATAACAAGTAATTTATTTATTGTACATTAGTATTTTAACTCTGTCTTGGGTTGTACTTTTTGATGACGTGAAAAAAATACTCTTTGCATACTGCAAGTGGTACAGCCAATAGTGTTGGCATCACTTAGATGGGTGAAACCCATCAATATCAATACATATTCGAAACCATAGTTATTATGGTCCCGTATTTTTCAATATTTTGATAATGTTCATCGTAGCTTAAGAAAACTTTCCAAAAATATTCAAAATGATGGCGACGGCAACATGAAACAAAAATTCCTGTGAAAGAATACAAGCCTTGAAATGTTGGCGGTTAAAGGACCAAGTACGCGGAGAGATTCTCTCTCTCTCTCCCGCCGACCGTTCGATATTGAGTCTAGATAATTTTGGCAGACCGCCAAAGTTTGGAGCGTCCGCCGCTATCCTCCGGAGTGAAAACTTGCCCGACAGTTCGATCGCGTAGGTAACCTATATACAGCCCGTTCATATGCGCAGGATGTTTGTTCAGTTTTCATTTTTTTAATGCTTGTAACCCACTTATTTGATTTGATTCGTGTTGGTTCTATGGTAAAATAATGATTATTGTAAGGATGCTTCTGCCATTATTTGTAAACTCAGCTCCGACCAGACGTATAGAAAAACGTGGCTGCATAATAGGACAGAAAAAGTGAATAATGTCAAAAGATACGAAACTGCTAAATTTACGCAAGCCGGATGCGTTTAATAACATTGTAACCAAAGCTTACCCGAAATGAATTGTGCGGCCATATTCAGAATCATAATATTTATTTAATTGTTATATGCATGTGAGAAGAAATCAGCCTAAAACACCTTTAACAGCAATTCCAAATAAGTGAAAATATTACATCAATTAAAAAAATAAAAAAAAAAATGCAAAGTGAAAGAGTGCGTCCCCGCTATGCTAAAGAGATAACTGGACTATATTTCGGTTCTCAATGCGAAAGAATAATAATAAATGTAAATTTGAAATGACAAAGATCATTAAATAGGATGAACAATCGGCCGTATAGACATCGTTAGATAATTAAGTTCTTAATTAATCTTAGATCAAATAATTAAAAATTTATGTAGAAGTGCGAATAATATGAAAATATATAAGTTGTAATAAATAGTATTATTTTAAGTACGTCTATTTATAGTAGAAGTTTTACACAATCATGCAATGATGAAAAAATCTTTTACTTGCACCTATACCAATTTTATATTGTTAACTCTTTATAAAACTACTGGATTACTCTTGCGTCGGTTTTTGCTGAGTCGAACTTGCTAACGTTTCGTCAATAATCTTGTTGGCTTCTTCAGAGCTTGACTGAAACTGGTTCCCATTGAGAGGCATAAACATCGTCTCGGATGATGTGACCACATATCAAAAGTTCTAAAGAAGTATACAGTTTACACTTAGATAAGTAACGACTCATTTTAGAGTTTACACGTTATGATTTTAGGGTATTCAATTGATGGAATTGGCACATGTTAGCCTTTTCTAACCTCTTGATATTAAAAAACATCTTCAAAAAATAGTGGTTTCAGTTTATAATTATTACGAAGGCGAAGTCAAGCTGTTGGGTATACTGGTTGAAGATTTTTGCTCTGCTTGGGGAGTCAATTCTAGTCAAATACTTATTTTAAGAAGAAATATTTATTTGTGAGCAAAACGGGAAATTAAATTTTGCCATAATGAACCGAAGACTTAATCGAAATATTCCAAAGTAACAACCACGGAGGTCAAGTGCTGAACAGTTTTTTGGCATTTCAAAGATTACTTTTAGTGTCGGTGTCAGGTGTCCTCTCATACTGGTTTAAAACCTGCAGTTTGCAGCCATCAGCATTTTGAATTTGCTAACGAACGAACCTTTTCAGGCCAATCGATTAAATTTCGAGAACTTTTTTTAGTCAAGTTTTTATCTCATGTAAACCTAACTGTGGATAGTAAGCTGTATTTTTGGAACATTAAACTATGTAATAACAGCGGATGGCCCCCATTACAGATGGCGCGCCAATGTGTCAACGTATTACAGCTCCCCTATTAAGATTAAAAAAATATTTTTTCTGTTATGCATGGCGTTTCATGAAATTACGACAATACCAAAATACTTATTTTTAAAGGGAACACCCTATATTATTTAATTTAACAGAATATTTTGACTTGATATTATATCTCAAAAGCATACAGAGCTTTGTAGAAACATTCCAGATATGCAATTGGGTTAGTTCTTGTTAATTTATTGGACTTCATTACTGTCACCATGTTGCCATATCGCTATTTTCTTAGCTTTTTTTTTCAAATTATGCACCTTACTAGGATCGTGTGACTGATATTTTGTTAAAAAATTGTTATTCTTTCTAATGTATTCATGTCGCGATACACGAATGGAAAATATAATCAAAAATTTAACTGCAATACCATCCGTCAATAAGCATCTGACAATAGATGACTATTGAACAAACAAGAGAAAGTATTTTGTCAAATTTTAAATAAAAAAATTTTAAGGTTTCGATACGTATATATCCTTGTAAACACTCTATCATTATCGAATATTTTGTCTCTTTACATATTGGAGTGACGAATATATTTTGCAAAAAAAATTGCCTAGTCCTAAAACAAAATCAATAATGAGAGAAACAAATTAAATTCGAGCATAAAATTTAACATTTTTAACATTATATTATTAACAACACTTTACTTGCCAGTGTGTTTAGTTTCATTTGTTTAATGAACGAGTGGCTTAATTTTTCGAAAATAGGATAAATATATTCACCGAGTGACGTGTTTTAAAGTCATCGGAAACATGCGATTGCTTCCAGTCCGTGACTAAAACACCCATACCGTTAAAGATGGTGAGCAGCACAAAATTTTAAACTTTGAGTGCCCGAGGAGTGCATAATTGGTTATTTTGGGGTAGTGACTAGAAAAACAATATTTATTTGTTCCTATCATTGATATTATAGAAATTGATATATTTATTTATTCAATAAAATTCGATGGAAGAATTAAATTCCCTTCACACTTCAACCAGCGGTATCGACCTTGATCAGTCTGATGACAAAAAATTCTCGTAAATATGTATGCGAACGATATATCGTATGCAATGTCGTCAAAATGTACCACGACTGCAAGGGGGGGGGGGGGGGGTAGAATATCTGCCGACCACTCGTCGGCGTCATCCTGACCTAATCCGACTTTGTTGACTTTAGTTATTTGTGGCTTGATATTGAGACAGGTTCACGGTTTTCCTTTAAGCGACATATCCTAAGGAATCTTGTTTTAATGCCACAAATTATTAGAAATATAGCTAGTACCCAATGCAATAGGGCCATATCGAGTCCGTTCGTTGTATTGCCAACTTGAGAGAGTATTGCCAATTTGAGAGGTTAAAGACTCATCTCTTTCAAAACGAATTATGTAAAGGCTAGAGAATTTTAAATTTCTTGTA